CCACCTTCCTGTACCCTCCCCCAGACTTTGGTTGCTATCTCTGTCACTGCAGCCTCAGGTGGCATTGGTGTCCCTATGGTCCTGTGATGACTCATACAGCTCACACCGTGTTGCTCTTTCTCCTACGTCATCACAGTGCTATTGGGGTTAGAGCCTAAACTGTGAGTGCTTAGGTCTGTGTCTTTCCATTTTATGTTGCTACACACTCCTACCTGCTCTGGCTCTTTCAGGTCCTCTAGATAGATATTCTTGATCTGTTGGCTGTCATTTTCAACGTTTTTTGAGGGGCTTTAATCATCCAAGTGGCTTGTCAGTCATCCAAGGTCATTAGCCTTGTGGATGCTTTGTCCTCATTCCTCAGAGGACTCAGCTCCTGCCTTGCCATGGCCCATCTTCTGGTTTCCTTCAGGAGATACGGTCTCATGGCCAGTTCTTTCTGTGCATTTGGGGCCGATGCTCAGGGTCTCTGGTGGAGAATGGCATTAAATAGAATAACCCCTCCATCTTCTTTGGGTTAAGGACTGCACCGTTTTTCTAGGGCTGTTCCAGTAAATCATCCCACACTCAGTGGCTCTAACCAACAGACATTTTTCTGCTCCAGTATGGAGGTGGAAGTCAGAAATCAGGATGTCATGCAGGGTAGGTACCCTCCAGAGGGTCTGAATCTGTCCTCTGCCTAGCCCTGGCTTACAGCTTCTGGTGGCTTTTAGCGACCTTCAGTGTTCTGTAATTGGCTACCGGAGTCTGTCTCTGCCCCAGAAGTCTCTCACCTTGCCAAGAAAGTGACTTCCACTAATTTAAAAGGTTGAAAGGTAGTTGGTATACATAAGTTTGCCTATGGGTACCCCGAACATGCAAATCTAGTCTCATCTGGGTGGGGTGCGGGTTCCTGGATGGCACATCGAAAACATTCCAGTGTTCTCCCAGGAATTACTTTCCTGTCTCTGAAGAACTTCATGGAATCGGCAGGCATTTTTACTTGGTACCAAGAATTGAGTCTGTCTTTAATTACTCGTTTTATTTATGAATCAAATGCCTCTAAGAAGTGTTATTACCGTAGGGGGAAAATGCCAGAAAGGAACCTTGGGTTGATTGTGGCACTGGGCATGGCTTGGGCATATTTGAGACCTCAAAGCCCACCCCCACAGTGACACACTTCCTCCAACAAGGCCACACCCACTCCAACAAAGCCACATCTCCTAATTATGCCACTCCCTATGAGCTTATGGGGGCCAACTACATTCAAACTACCACAATATATGAACCCTGGGGATCATTCTGCTCATGCCTCGTGAAAACATGGGATGTCTTGAGGCAAGGCATTTTGAAAGTAGTATTGTTTTAATTTAGATTGTGGTGTGTGTGTGTGTGTGTGTGTATGTGTGTGTGTGTGTGTGCGCGTGTGCGCGCGCGTGTGTGCGCGCACGCGCACGCAAACACACACATGTCAAGGCATGCATGTGAAGGTCATAGGATAACTCTCAAGAGTTGGTTCTCTCCTTCTACTATGTGGGTCTTCTGGTGGTCCTTGCAATCTCTACAGTCAGCCATGGAACAATCCAGGCGAGGCAAAAATGAGACTTGTTTCATTTTGGCTTTAGTTAGTCATCACTGATTCAGATTTCTGGAGTCTGACACCAGGCAGTGTATTTTAGCCACATTTAAGCACTGCACCATTTTGGAAAAAAGTTTCCTGATGCCAATTAACTCAGTACCTGGTGTACAACAAAACTTAAGGTATATTTATATTGAAACTGTTTACAGAGTACATATGGCTTCTTCCATAAAGATGAGTTCTGTTGACTTAGAAACAATGTTCAAGATAAGGCTCTAGGGAGAATGACTGAGGTAAATATTTTCCCTGTGAGAGTCAGGATTGGCCTGGCCCTAAGAGAATATAGAAGTCACTTAGACTGTTGTAAAATACAAGTTGACACCTTTCACAAGGGTGGATTTTATGAACTGAGAAGCAAAGTTCAAGATTTGGTGGGAAAAGGTCTGGACTAAACAAATATAATATAATATTCTGGGAGTTTTGGGTGAAGCCTGGTCTTATAGATAGCAAAGGATCACCAGGTTGTAAACCACATCCTTTCCCAGCGTTCTGGGTGGACGATGGGTAAACATCTTTCTTTGAGGAGACAAGCCTGCGTGTTTAACTTTCCTGGCCTCTTCAGTGCTTATCTGTATGCACAAGGACCTCTTACATACTTCTTGGGTTCCAGGGATTGAACTCAGATTGACAGGCTAGGCGTCAGGCACCTTTACCTGCTGAGCCATCTTGCTGGCCCAAGGCAAGTTCTTTTGAAATGTTTGGCTGGCCAAGCTGAAATCAACAAAGCAGTCCACTCCGATCTGTGCGCTGATTTTAGCCTAATGCTGAGCAACCCCAAACATCTCAAGACGTCCTCTGTGGACCTCCTCGGCTGAGAAAGAATACTCAGGGAGACTTCAAAGGCATTGTGCCAGGTGGGGGTTGAGGTCAATAAGATCCCTGTGAAGTGGCACATGGGGTGTTATGTGCCACATATACATGAGTGCCCAGCAGCAGCAAGCCTGGAAGGGGGCTGTAGGATGCCTGGAGCTCAGTGGAGGTGGAAGCACAGGGGTGATGTTCAGCGCCAATATCTCACCCCTAGATACGTAAGGATGGGGAGACTCACTGGAAAGAGAGATAACCGGCTGGAGATGCGGGGGACCAGAGAGTACAGAACTGGGAGGAGAGGGCAGCATGCCACAGAGCCCCAGTCACTTGGCACCAGCCCAGCACTGCCCTTGGGAGGGGGTGCAGTTAGGGTTTTCATGTTCATGAAGGGCGTCTTACAGAGCTGTGGGAGCATGGGCAGGTGTTTGCAGGAGGAGCCGAGAGAGAAACATCTGGAATAACAAAGCCGAAAGAGGGGAATTCTTGCTTTCCCTGTAAGCAGAAACGGAGGCGAAACAGAGTTAGGAAACACATCCCAGGAGTTCTCAAAGTGAAGAAATTATCCCAACATCTGCTGAAACATTCAAACAGACTTCATTTCCGGCTGTTGCTGGAGGTGTGGGACTGCTGTGATGGGGCTCTGCTGTGGAGGAGAGAGCAGTTGAGCTCAGCTCGGAATACAGCAAGAAGAGGGATTTTTATATGCAAGAAGCAGGGGCTGGGAGTGGAAAATCACTAAAGGGGAGTGTGGAGGGGAAACCGCTGTACCAGGAGTCCTCCCTCAGCAAGCCGGGGGACTAGACATCCGCTGGGCTAGGAGGATCCCTGCCAGGTCAGAGGGTGGTCATTGGTTTGGGAGTTGGGGTGGGTTGCAGACAAACCCACTAAACCATGTCTACAACCAAAGTGTCAACAGATTTCTTTAGCTGAAGGATCTAATAGCCTCCCATGAATTTTCTGTCCCTCCCCTCCTGTCCCCTTTCTTCCCCCCACTCCCCTCCCCTCCCCTCCCTCTCCCAGGGGTCTAGATTTGTAGTCAAAGCTGGCCTTGAACTCAGTGTATAGTTCAGGTTGTCCTGGAACTCAAGACCTTTGTTCCTCAGCCTCCTGAGTGCTGGGATTACAAGCCTACACCTTAGCACCCAGCTTCATAAATTCATTTTCTCTCTCTTTCTCTCTCTCTCTCTCTCTCTCTCTCTCTCTCTCTCTCTCTCTCTCTCTCTCTCTCATTTGTTTGTTTTTCAAGACAGGGTTTTTCTGTGTAACTCTGGCTATCCTGGGACTTGCTCTGTAGACCAGGCTGGACTCTAACTTAGAGATCTGCCTGCCTCTGACTCCCGAGTGCTGGGATTAAAGGCGTGTGCCATTCTTTTAACAGCAAGATTCTCACCAAAATGGGATGATGCACACTTAAAAATGGTCCACTGACAAGTGAGGTTAAGGGAGGCTGGCAGCTCCTGTGGAAAGTGTGGTTACATGCAAATGCACATGTGTGGTGTCTGCACAAACACACTGATCTGCAGGTGTTTCCATGCATATTTGTAGGTGCTTTTTAGTCTGTTTTGAGACAGGGTTTTTACAAAATAGCCAAAATTGGCCTAATAACTTTTATCTATCCCCTACGGGCCTTGAAATCAGGGGTTCACCTGCCTCAACCTTCTAAGTGTTTCGATTATAGGTATGAACCACCGTTCCCGATTTTTAATATATTTCTAGACATTCAGAATATCTCTGGGGAAAGTCAGGAATTTCGCAGTGGATGTAATCCTGCACGGATGGCATGTACCCATGGTTTAGTTCCCTTCAAGAGACAGCACAGAACATTCTCATGGCTTCTCTTGGCTGTTGAATGGGTTTTGAAAGCTGGTTGTGGAAACAGCCTCTGTCTGAAGTACCTAGGAATTTTGAACAGCAAGGTGGGGTGGTAAGGTGGCTCAGTGGGAAAAGGCACCTTCTGCCGAGGCCGAGAACCCGAGTTCAATCCCTGGACACCCATGGTGGAAGGAGAGAGCCGCTACTGCATGTGGTCCTCTGACCTCTACATGCAATGCTGTGGCATGACGTCACCCCCACTCCCAATAAAGAAATGTGTTTTCTTTCAAAAGCCAACGTAGGTGAGGTGGCCTCGCAACACACCTGGTGGACCTGAGTTTCCTTTCTGGAATCCGTATAAAGGTGGAAGGAGAGAACTGGGTGCACAGGGGTGTCCTTTAATCGCCACACTGATGCTGTGGCGTGTGCATGACCTCCCACACCCCAATAATAAACAAAATAAATTTGACAAAACCAACCAACCAAACGAAACAACTACAGACTAATAACAAAAGCCACGCTGGGTGGTGTTTGGAGTCAGTGTAGACATGTCTGAGTGTGAAGGGGAGGTGGTGTGTTATGGGTGAGAGCAAGGTGGGAAGGGAGGGAGGGAGGGGGCTTATCTGAAGCAAAGGGAAGAGAAATTGTTGTATTTTAATAAATCAAACTCGCTAATGTAACGGCAAAATGATTTTCATTGTCGCCCACATGGTGTGGTTTCATGTTCTCGGATGGTAAGATTATCCATTTATTTTATTCACAGGTTGTACTCAGACTATCTCTACTTTGCAAGTTCAAATAAATCTGCAGATGACTTTCACGAGAAGGTGACGGAGGCTCTGCAGCTGTTTGAAAATTGCATGCTGGATTATTCACTGCGCGCCTGTGTCTACAACAACACCCTGAACAACGCCATGCCCGTGCGTATTCACCAAGCCAGCCCATACAGAGCGGGGCCACTCCGATGCTATTATGTGCAGGGGCCATTGTGAACGGAGGGTTTTAGGGCAGAGATGAGGACAGAGCAGTTGAATGTGCAAATGACACTGAGCTGCCTTTGAGCAGTGGCTAATGTGGAAGCAAATACTCCTGGCTGGGAGAGCCATGAAAGCATCTGGACCTTTCCAGCCTGCTACTGTCTGTGTCCTTCTTTGCCTGCCACCCAGACACTTGGCATCATGCATCTCCTCCCTCTACTAGAGAACCAGGGTGCACTTAGGAGGACTGCCATTTAGTAAGGCTCCGAAGGCGCGCTCTGTAATTAGAGATGTCAGGCAGAAGATACCAGTCCTCAGGGTGTCTCGGAGCACTACTGAAGCACGGGCTGTTCTGTCGGTTTCAAAATTACCCACTCGTGAGTCTGAATGCTCCAACAAGGTCTTCACTGAAGAATGTTCTCTTGACCCCTCTGTTATTCTCTGTCTCTTCTTAAGTAATACACCTAAAGTTCTAGCCTTATGCAAACAAAACAAGACAAAGCAAAGCAAAACAAAACACTTGCTGGCTGTAAATCCAGTACCTTAACTGCACATCTCCACTCTAGGTTCCCAGGTCTAAATGCTTCCACAGCGAGGCTGTCGTGTTAGATAGATAGCTGTCCCATGTATGGCCATGTCACACATCAGTTATACACAGACCGCTGTAGATGAGACCCCCTACCCCAGGGCAGTAAGGCTCAGGAGAAAGATTCCCGTCTCTCTGTCTGGCTTCTCAGACCATCTTTTCTTACTCTGGACTGTCTTCCTGCAGGCGTTGCTGTTTGGCAAGGAAGACTCAGCATAGGTAACCACATTTTCAGATAGGCAAGCTTTGGAGGCAGACCGGGGCGTGGGTTCGCTCTGGCTTTTCCTGGCTGTGTGGCTCGCACAACCGTCTTAGCCTCTCTGAAATTCAGGTGCTTCATTATAAAACTGCCAGACTGTTATGGGAATTCAGGATTGAGAGCTGTTTCACATGTGTTCTGCGTTCACAAATGTATGGTACTGCACTCTGGTACAACGGGGGCCCACTGAGGAGTGGAAGTTCTCTAACCTAGTTGGAAAGTCTTAGACTCCACCAATGTTGGCCGCCCACCACCAGCCTGGGGCTGTTCCTCTACGCAGGCCGTGCTATTGCTGGGGCTTGCTTTAACAGAACAGGGACACCAAAGCTCTATCTTGTTACCTTCTTTAGCCGGCTACCCAGGTTTCTTTAGGGCTCCAATGTGTATCATGCAGTGGGCTCCAGAGGGTGGGAGAAGGCAGGTGTGTAGCTAGAGTTTTCCTGCCTGGCCCACAGTCAGGACAAATCTCTGTCACCGGCCAGTCCCACAGCCACTCAGACCCAACCAAGTAAACACAGAGACTTATGTTGCTTACAAACTGTATGGCCGTGGCAGGCTTCTTGCTAACTGTTCTTATATATTAAATTAATCCATTTCTATAAATGTATACCTTGCCACGTGGCTCGTGGCTTACCGGCATCTTCACATGCTGCTTGTCATGGAGGTGGCTGGCAGTGTCTCCCTCCGCCTTCCTGTTTTCTCTGTTCTCATCTCTGTTAGTCCTGCCTATACTTCCTGCCTGGCCACTGGCCAATCAGTGTTTTATTTATTGACCAATCAGAGCAATTTGACATACAGACCATCCCACAGCACAGGTGGTCTGTTGGGGAGAATTCAGATATTCCTGGATGCAGCCTGCCTCAGGGGTTGCTTCCATCCTGGGCCTTCTGGAGTTTCCTGTTTGTGGTGATGATGTGAAACTCCATCTCAACACAAGCCTGCAAAATAGGTGGGAAGACAGGGGCAGAGGGAGGCAGGAACAGGCCAGGTGAACAGTGAAGGGTGAGGTGTTTGGCTAGTGTGGCTCCCCAAAGAGGCAGGGACATTCTTACTCGCAGTCACCATCTCTCTCTGGGAACTCTCCTAAGAAAGGCTTCAGAGAGGGAGGGGACAGATGTGGGTACCTTGGTGCCATGGGTAGAGAGAGGCAGGGATTTGGGAGTCCTAGCACAGACATAGTTGGGTTTAATAGCCGGGAAGTGAGATTCTCTCGCCCTGGGAAGGGGTCAACATCTGATAGAAGCAGATCCAGATGTGGTGACATTTCATTCTACCCCAAGGTATGTCCTAGGAAAGGCAAAGCCTGCACCAACCAGGCTAGCTGCACTCTGGCTGTCTCTAAATAGGGTTCCTAGAGACAGGATATCCGCAGCCATTTCCTCCCACAGAGAAGAGGAGGGTGTGTGCCTGGTGAGTTTCCTCTCTTCTTCCTGTCTACAGGCTGACTGACCATGGGGACACCATTGTAACTGGGTGGGAAGTCCATCCCCACCTCTGGGTGTGCTAGAAACATCCAGACTAAATGTTTGTCAAGTCCATTGGTGAGAGACTGGAAGTATCTAACTTTGATTCATTGCTCACGGGGTACTATCCTAAACTTTACATCCTTACTGACCTCTGAAGTTGCTCCCATTTTACAGATGGGGACACTGAGACTCACTGAAGGTGTGCCAGTTCTGATAGCCCTTGAAGCCTGTCTTCCTTTCCGTGCTCTTAAAAGTGGTTCTGAGGCAGCAGGAGGCATGTGCTCTTCAATTTCATCTGTGACGTGCCAAGGACGACAACACCATAGCCTAGTACCTCTTGTCTAAGGGAGAGAGCTCCAGGGCACGGCAGTGGACAGGGTGGCTGAAGTCCAGGAGTGTACTCCCTGAGCCCCCTGAGGTGCTTCATGGAACCCATAGGGTGCTCACTCTTTACCAGAGCTCTCTGTGGTGGAAGAGGCATCACGGCCATGAGGGATTGGACCTCATGACTGGACTTTGTCGGGAGTTAGCTGTCGCGTCCAGCCAGACACCCCTGCCCTACTGGTCTCTGGTTCTTTGTCAGTGAGTCATGAGGCATCCAAAGGCTCAAAGGCTTCCTTCAGCTTTGGTGTCTTCTAATTTTAAACGTATTGGGCCCTTGCCCTAAATATCTCCTCTCCATTGGTTCTATTTTGGTTCCCGTCCTATGCTGGACAGACATGAGTTCAATGGGACGTTGGTGCTGTCTTAGGGGTGTCTTCATGGTTCCCAGTTGCAGTGGTGTTGTGCATGCACAGACAATGTCCCTGAGGGGCCCAGAGCTCTCCCTGGCTGAGGAAGGGGGTTCTGAAACCAGTAGGTGCAAAGCTCTCCTCTTGGGAGCCAACACATTTGTAGGCATCCCATGTCCTCCCTCCCTGGACCACCAGCCCACCCTGGAGCAGCCCTCCCTCTGAGAAAGGCCCTTTGTCCTGAGGGCAGTGGTAGACTCTCCAAGATGGTTTCAGAGGTTGTTCCGTGCCCAGGGCAGATGCAGGGACAGGAAACAGCTACTCTAAAACACCAGTGTCCTGTCACTGAGGGCCACCTCCTTCCCTTCTGGGAAGTTGTCAAGTTACAAAAGTCGTTTCTCTGGAAGAGATTAACCTTGTGAGGTCAGGCTGGCTATAACCTGGTTGGTCAGAGACAGGGGAAAGCCCTTAGGGTCCTGACCTAGCACGGTGTTCTCATCCCTATTCCATGTTGGAGGCTACGTGTGTGTTTGTTACTGAGACTGGCACATGCTCATCTCCTTCAGCCCGGTTTGAAGTCTTTGTGAGCCGGTGTGTAAGATGGTACCAAAGCGAGGCTTAGGGACAGCTAATGAATTTTGGAGACAACTTAGCCATTTGCCGTAACTGTTTTCCTTCCTCCCCATCTTTCTTCATCATTAGACAAATGATGAAATGGAAAAAGAACAGTGAGAGATGAGGACGGTTAGCATCTGCCTACACTTTGTCAAACGCATCCTTATTGTGTCGTGAGCACTGTGTCCAGCATCTCCACCAGGAGCTAACATGAATGCTGACACAAAGCTTTGTGCGAGGTGACTTGATGTCCCTGCCCCCAGGAATCTCACAGTCAAGTTGGTCAGGGAGAATGATGAAGAGTGCTTGCCTCAAAAATAAAATAATAACAGAATAAGTAAATAAATAGATTTTGAGGAATGAATGCCCCAAGGAGGAGCCTAGGACTGGGAGGAGCCATGGAGGAAGAATGAACTGGAAGTTGGAGGCGGCTCAGGGCTTTCCAAATGGAGAGCCCCGGGGCCAGTCAGGGCCAGCTCACTGCTTTACAAAGCACATGCCTATGATAGGTGGAAGGACAGAGTGTAGAGATGAGCGATCCAGCCAGGAGCCTTGTGGGTGTCTAGTGGGTGTTAATAGGAGTGGACGAAGAAGGTCTGAGTAGGTAGGGGGGAGTGATGTGTCACTCCCACGTCTGACGCCAGCTCAGCTGTGAGTTCTGGGGGAAAGTCACCAACCATCTTCAAGTTCAGTATTGCAGAAGAGTTCAAAGGACACACCAAAGGCTACTGTGACCATGACCACAACTTATGGCATGGAAAGGATTCAGAGTCCCATTGTCAGCGAGGGAAAGTGAATGGCACAGCCCCCAGTCCGCTGCTCCCTTCAGAGTCACAGGTGGAGCCAGCTCCTCCCAGCAGTGATGGATGCATGACCACACGACCACAGCGAGGAATCTTGCCACCCCAAGTTGTACTGTCCTGGGTTCTTACTGGGGCTCCATCACATTACTGACCCTCGGGTTATTCCAGAGACCGGAGCTCTATCAGAAATCACTGTTAGCTTGACTGGTGCTCACATTCTAGGGAAATGAAATTGTTCCTGTTGGGCAATGCAATCCAGAGGCCTTAGCGGTCACCTCCTAGGCCAGAGGGCAAAAGCCGGACCTGTCTTTGAGTGGGTCAGTTCTTTATTACCAGTTGGTAGTTTGGCATGAGAGAATGAACAGGGTAAGGACTCAGGAAATGAGTAGGAGGGAAGGAAGGAGGAAGCCTTTGCCTGTGCATTGGTTTTATTCTCCTGTGGTTACGTTCCAAGGACATCACACACATTCATGGTCATGGTCGTCCTTATATCTTACAGTGTCTGGGGTGTCCTTGAGGTGTCTGTTTTTGACTTTTCACAGCCTGTTGTGATTGACAGCAGGGAGACAGCCACCACATGTGATGCAAAGAACTTGTATGTCCTTGGCTTCTTTCCTGTGTTTCTTCTCTCACTTGTGAGTAGAGGTTGGAACCACCCATGGGCTGTCGTGAAGATTAAATGCAACCCTAAGTGTAGGATTCTTTGTGCATGTGGCACGGGATGCCTTGTGTTAAAATTTGACTTTGGAAGGTAATGGTTTGCTAAGACGAGTCTGTGTTGGTTTACAGAGAGATGTCCATCGTTCTTTGGAAAAGCACCAGGGCTGAGGAAGTGTTTTCTGCAGTAACATCTTCCTTCTCCTTCCCAGGTGAGGCTCCAGGTTGGGCTGTATGCTGTGTACCTTCTGGATTGGCTCACTGTCTTTAATAAGGAACAGTTCCTCATTCTGCGTCTGGAAGACCACGCATCCAACGTCAAGTACACCATGCACAGGGTCTTCGAGTTTCTAAACCTGGGTATGTGTCCTGCTTCAGGCAGTGGGCCTGCCTGATCAGCATAAATCCCAGGGATGTGGGCTTTCTCATTTGTGTGTGTATTTACAGTGTGTGTGTGTATCTGCACCCGTGTGTGTTGGGGTGTGTATGTGTGTGTGTATCTGCACCTGTGTGTGTTGAACGTGTGTGTGTGTGTGTGTGTGTGTGTGTGTGTGTGTGTGTGTGTGTGTGCGCGCACACTCACAGGTAAGTCAACATCCAGTGTCTTCCTCACTCTTCTCGTTTTTTGAGAAAGGGTCTCACTGAACTCAGCTTGTTGTTTTGGTTAGATTGGCTAGCCAGGGAGTCTCAGGGTCTGTCTTTCCCCCTCTTTCCAGTGCTGGGGTGATGCTGCCAGGCACAAGCTGCCATACCCACCCTTTAAAGGGGATGTTGAGGATTTAAACTCAGGTCCTCACGTTGCAGAAGAAGCAATTACAACTCCTTTACCTTCTGAGGCAACTTCCCTTACCCATGGCGTGTGGGCTTTTTAGGATTGTGCTAGCTTAAGTGTGAAATGGGAAGAGATGGGCTGTGTGAGACCCAGGGACCCCTGAAGAAATGCTAGCTCAATTCCTGTTTACCTAGTATCTGCTGCATGGGGCATTGCGCATGCAGCGGTGGGCAAGCTCTGGAGAGGAGGTCGCTCCTCTGAGATCTTTCAACCTGGAAGAAGGAGAAGGAAGCCCAGCCTAATTCACCAAATGACTGTTAGTGTCCCTGGGGAAGGTAGGTACTGTCGTAGTGGGCCTAGTGTTGCTGGGGGAGCCTCAGCTGCTGTGGGACCACAGAGGTGTTAATGAAAGGTAAGCAGATCTGGATTGGATTCTGAAGCGGTTCAAGGTCACAGTGGGTGGCTAGGACACTTCTCCAGTGACATGGAGTTTAGAAGTCTGGCTATTACATCATCTCAGGCGTTGGTGGGGAAACCCTGGAGTTATAGATGGCTCATGGTTGGCCTTTGACCTGCCTTCAGCCTGAGGATGCTAGCTGAAGGGCACTCTGCTAACTGGCTATGCCACTGCCTGGCAGAGGCACATACAGAGGTGAGGAGTGCTGCCTGGGTATAGATGAGTCACCCACGGAGAACTGCTGAGGCTGTAAATGTCAGGTCATGCCACTTTTCCACAGGACGTTTCCCATAGCCCTGTCTAATGACCTGACCTGGGAATTCTGTTAACTGAATATTTCTTGAAATATATCTGACCACCACTGGGATCTAGGACTCTTATCTTTCCTTCTTTTTTATTATTATTTTTTTTCTTTTTGAGAACTGGTTTGGGCTGGAATATAGACACTCTCTTTCCCATTTAAGACTTAGAACCATTTTCCTTTGATTGGACCACCTATAAATCTCTTGCATTATATGGTTGCCTTTTATTCCTAAGAGGGACAGGGCTGTACGGTCAATTTTCTGTCTTGCATACCCTGAGACATTGGGCTATCGTAAGGGTTTTGGTTAGGTCCTACAGGCTTCGAGTCCAGAAGCACAGGGAGCTAGTGGTCTAGTGCTGGGTTGAGCCAGTGAATAGCTGATGACCCAGCAGCTTGGGGCGGGGAGGAATGGCCTCCTGTGTAACCCCTGCTGGCCTGCCCTGGGGCATCTCCCCACTAATGCAATTGCTGCAGGTACAGGGACCACCAGTCTTCCCACCCTGTGGCCACTACACAAGGGAAGAGGAAATAGAATTCCTCAGGCTTAGGCCCTTTGTGTCACTCAAGAACCCAAAGAGGAAATGGTGGTGGCAGAATTCCAGGCAACCAAAGTCCCCATGTGCATGCCTGGTGCCCTTGGAGGTCAGAAGAGGGCATCAGATCCCCTGGAACCGGAGTTACAGAAGAGCAGGTCCTGGGAATCGAAACCAGGTCCCCTGCAAGAACAAGCGCAGTTAACCACTGAGTCCCCTTTCCTATCCAACCATGTATCTTCTTACGGGAAAGTCTTGTTCTTGCATGAAGTACAGCTGGGACTCTTGTGAAGTCCCCTTCACCTCCAGCCACACCTCCAGCCTTACAGGATCATTTTCCTTCTCCTTATAGGGCCTCTAAGTGAGAAGCAAGAAGCTTTGATGACTAAGAACCCTGCATCCAACACGCGGCGTCCTGAGGATCGGAGCCTAGGGCCCATGTGGCCAATCACTCAGAAGATTCTTCAGGACTTCTATGGGCCTTTCAACACTAGGCTGGCACAGGTCCTTGAGGATGAAGCGTTTGCCTGGAAGACACCGTGAGAGCTGAGTGCCTTCTGCAGGAGCTGGGCCTACTGACTCTATCATTGCCATGACCTCAAAAGTCTCCTGGTGGAGAACTGTCACCCACAGAGTGGAAAAAACCACTGGCGCTCCATCTTCTCCTCCCAAGGCAACAGTTAATTGGAACTATTTTGACACTTTTTTCTTGCCATGTTCAGTAGCTCTGCTCTTGGTCACTGGGCTCTTCTACCTGAAGCCTTGGAAAGTACACGAGGGCTAGGTTTCTGTTTGTTCCCAGAGTGCCTTGGAGCTTAGGAGGGCAGGCTGGCACCCAGTGGGTAGGAAGAGGAGGCTTTGCGAGGCCACAGACCAGCCCTGACCTCCCTACCTCCAGAAGAGTTTGTCTGGGTGTCGGGTTGGACAGCTCTGGGATCCGATTAAGCCCAGGCTCACTGGAGGCCGTGCTTTGGGGCTCACCGGAACCACCCTTCATGTGTCATTTCCCAGCCCACCTTGCATAAATGGCTGATCCCATCCAGCAGAGAACGGAGCTGCTTGGAGAATGGAGGCTCTTTTCATTTTTGTTCATATTCCCACGCCAGCCCTTCCGCGACATCAGAAATGAGCCCTCTTCCCTTTGCTACGCCCAAAAGAAAACAAAATGTCGGCAGCGCGCTCATCTCTCTGACCTCCTGTTCTGCCCCTGCAGACTTTATTTATGCCCAGCATAGAGAAGGAGCACTCTTGAACAAACTGCGTCTTGAGTTTGACTGGCCCTGCCTCTCTTTTGTGCTCCTTTGGATGTTTTCTCAAGGAATTCAGTTTATATTTGGAAAGGGAAGTCTTGCTGTTAATGCCAGATTAGAGCAACCTCAAGGCATCGAGCAGTTGGCGGGAAAGGAAGTGAAGACCTCGCCTTGTGTGGAGGGGTCACCAGAGAGCACATGACGCTTCAGATTTTGGTTCTGGCTGCCTACAGGCTCCCTCCCTCCATCTTCCTGTTGGAAGAATCTTTTATCCACGTTCTCTGTCATCTTGGCCGCAGTTCCATACTCACTAAGGATCTCAAGACATGCATGTCCTCGGAAACACATCTCACAGACTAAACTTGGGCTATATGTGCTGTGTGGTGACTAGGAGATAGCTTTGCTCCTTCCGGACCTTTCCAGGCCTTTTAGGAACTTGGTTTGCAATGAATAAGCTGAAGGTCTTGTCATCCAGGGAATACCAGAGAGAACAGCTTAAGCCCATTTGGCCCGCGGGGCCAGGTGGGAGTGTCACAAAGCTTCTCCCTGGAGCATTGCCAAGGGGTGCTTCCTGTGAAGCTGTGTCCTCAGGTCAGGATCCCGTCCACCAGCGTCGCAAAGTGTACACACTACATACCCGACTGTGACTTGAATGTGTGAGAAAAGCTGGGCGTTGGCAGCAGAGAATGTGCAGTTGCTCAGCTACGTGAGTTCTGCTGTCCGCCCTTGTTGGAGATAGGATTCTCAGCCCATTGGAAGGTTCAGAGAGCTCTGGGCAGCAGCATGGACTGGGTCAGTTCTGCTACTGAAGGGGCTGTGTGTCTTGAAGTCTGCCTTCCAGGACAATTCCCCCTTTACTCCCAGCCAGCCCTTGGCTCAGCAGCCAGTGGGGAAATCTGGCTTGAGTACAAGGATGCTTTGGGACGAAATGACGAGAGAGAGAGAGAGAGAGAGAGAGAGAGAGAGAGAGAGAGAGAGAGAGAGAGAGAGAATATTTATTTGGAATACAGAGTGCGTGCGTGTGTGTGTGTGTGTGTGTGTGTGTGTGTGTGTGCGTGTGCAGGTGCACACGCGCGTGTGTGGGTGCTTACACTGAGTGGGTTCCCCTCAGCTATCTTGCTGATGAGGCTTCTCCCTCCATTAGAGACACGATGCCTTTATGGATTAATTTCTCCACCAGTCAGCCTGTCATTTCCGGGACATATCTTACCGCCCCACACCAACCACGATTATAAGAGATTTTTCTTGCGCGCTCCTATGCATGTGAATAACATGTAGCGTAATTCTGCTTCTTACAGAAGTATTGCCAAAGGTATTATTTCCAATATTATTTGGTTCATCGCTGATCTTTTTAAATATGCAGCCCCTCCCTTTCTTCCATCTGGGGCTACCCAGACCCGGTTTTCTCTCTAGTGGTCTCTCCCCAGGGCTCACCAGCATTGCCTTTGCTTATGCTCGGTTGAGGCCTCCTCTTGTTGAGAGCACAGGTAGTGTTTTGGGTGGTGGCTCTCTAGCCTCTCGCCCCAAACCAAAGCAAAACCCAGACCTGGTACCGAAGACACTTCGTATTCCCAAAGCGGTGTGCCAGGTTGTATGAAACCTTCCCTCCCTTTGCCATGTAAGGTATGATATGCGAGTCACATTTATTCTGTACTTTTATTCATATTTAACATAATTAAAGATGGACCCACACACCTGGTGCCTGCGGAGAGTGGGCCCTCCATCACAAGCTTGTCGGCCAGTTCTTTCCATGGAGTCCTGTGTGTGTGTGTGTGTGTGTGTGTGTGTGTGTGTGTGTGTGTGTGTGTGTAAGCGCGTCACATGGTGGGAAGGTCAGCGCCTCCCCTGCCTTCCTGGAATTCTCGCCAAGTACAGGGTCTCATCACAAAGAGATGGCCCGTGATCCTCATAGTAGAAGAAAACCCCAGAGCAGACACAGTGCCACACCTGTTCCCTGGGGAATCCCCGTGGAGTCCTGCCATGGTTGGGTGGCCGGGTGGGAGGTCCTGTCCAGCTCCTAGCGGCCCTTGCGTGGTCTTCAGATGTAGGACTCTAAGACGGAATGACCACTGGCCTCAAGGATGAGAGTTTGAGATGCTTGGTGCCTCCGGGTGTGTCTCATCACTAGGTAGGCAGGGTCCTGCTGGAGCTTGAGGAGGATGGGCCGGCTGCTCAGTGTTTTCCTCCATAGCAAAGTAACTCAGCTTGGGTCCTTTACACACTGAGCCACTCTTCCCAGGGAAGCTCCACCCCTTAAAGGTCCCACCCCTTTCCTGAACAGCAGCAGCAGGAGCTGAAGACAGGGTGCAAACACAAGAGCCAATGGGGACATTTCACATTCAGCTGCCACACAACAGGAACGCTGTCTGTCAGTGACCGGTGCAAGACCGAGCTCAAGGTGCCAGCAGCACATTGGTTTCTCTGGGGCCTCTTTCCACGGCTCACTACGGCTGCTCTCTCAGCTCCTCTTCACAGGGGTGTCCCTCTGATGACAGTGAGACAGACCCTAGGGGGTCTCATTTAACTCCATCATCTCTTTAAAGGACTTCTCTTCAAATGCAGTTGTACTCAGAGGCTCCACCCACTCAGGATGTCAACACATGAATTCAGTCCACAGAGAGGGCTTATTCCACGCTTAGAAGCTTGGGTCATCCTGGGCGCCGAATGGCCCTTTGGTCAGTCCCACAGTTCTGGGACCTGTCTTCTCAGCATGGCTCCTTACTATGGTGTGTTGAGTGTGGGGCTGGCTTTACTCTGGGAGAATGCTTCTGTCTGGGGAAGGTAGAGGATTGTGGGATTCAGAAAGCAGGCCAAGGCCAGGGCATACCTCGGAGGGCTAGCGCCCCCTCTAGCAGGAGCTCTCCCAACCCTTGTTGCTAGGAAACACAGCTACGGCCTCAAGCCTGGGTGGTGCTGTGTAGGATGGTGCTTCTCTGTTGGGGCAGCAATCACATCCTGAGAGCATCCTTGTGCCCCGTGGGTGAGGCCAATCTAGTGGAGACTTGCAGGAAAAATTAGCTTTTTTTTTTTTTTTTAAAAAAAAAAACGTTAGTTTTCCCAGAACTTCGGGACCAGCTCCCCTGCAGGCACTAGAGAAGAAATGGGGTTGACAGGGACTACATCAGAGTTGAGTGAGGTTTTTAGCTACTGCTGCGACAAATCACCTCAACGGGAATGTGTCTCCACCCCAGAGGGAACTTTGAGCAGTGACCCCCTTAACCCAGGCGGGTTAAGGAAGAGTGCCCTTCAGCCTCGCTAGCATCTATCCTTGTGATGGCTTCAGGTTGGCCTGGCTTCCATGACCCCAGCCCCTTATAGTTCATCACTAAAGTCATCTCAGTGACTTCAAACAAATCGAGTCTCTCATCATACAGTCCTGGAGGACAGATGTTCCACACCAGGCACCCTAGGCTGAAGCAGGTTGCGTGCTAGGCTGCACCTCCTGGAACCCCAGAGCAAGCTGTGTCCAAGTCTTTCCAGCTATGAGAGGCTGCCACGTGCTTTGACTTGCAGGCTCCTTTCTGGAGTGGCATATTTAGACTCTTATCTCTGTCTCGCCCTGCTTCCCTGATCACATGGCCTCTGTTCACCCCCTGCCTCTCATGAGGACCCTTGGAGTTACATGAAATAATGTGTGATTACCTCCCCATCTCAAGATCTCACCTGCAAAGTTTCCCTTGCCATGTTAGGAAAACATCAATAGATTCTGGGGCCTGCACTGTGGACATCTTCAGAGTGTCGTGCACCTGACCACAGGAGAGTGGCCCTGGGAGCTGGCCAGGCCAGCAAGTGGGATGCAGTGGGTGCCCAGTGGCTGGTCCCTTGTGGCTCTACCATGGGGACTCTAACAGGACTGAGGGGGACAGCAGCTCAGTAGAGGCTCTGAGATGATACCCTAGGATTCTGTGACTTGGTAAGTTGCAAGCCCTTTGGCTTGTGCCTTTCTCCCAGGATGCTCACCTGGCCGACTGCTGTGCCACCCAGATAGACTATTCAGCTCTAGGAGAAATGTCCTTTAAGGGCTCATCGCTACCTTTGCTTTTGAGTGCTTGGGAACCTGCTCTGGCAGCTGCTGGGCAGCCCATGAGTTTCTAAAGTCTGGCTGTTGTTGAGGTCATCATTCTGCAGAGACAACTGCTTGTAAAAGTTGCAAAAATAGAATCCTTTCTTAGTTCCCAAGAGATCTTCAAGCTCACAACTTCCCTGGCCCCAGCTTCTGCAAGGCTGACCTCCAACCCCTCTGGCATCCATCTGCATAATGGCCCAGGCTGGCCTTGCCTTCATGACCTCTGCCCCATTGCGTTGGCAGAGGCCCTGGTGCAGGGCCTCCCAATCTGGCTAGCATCCTTCCTCCTCTTTCTCTTCCTCTGCTCCTGGGCATGGCTTGGGCGGAAGGACTATCTGTGAGCAGTTGTGGGGTCCTTGGAACTTCAGGTTGCTGTCCCAGGAGGAATGACATGGGATCAACGATGGGAGACTTTCAGGTGACCACACAAAGCAGGGCTTTGGGCTGGAGAGGAGCAACAGTGTGCCTCAGTTGCCACTTACACATAGGTGTGTCCTGTGCAGGGTCTTCTGGGCAACGGGGAGAGGAATTTGATCTTTGCTGGGCAGCACATCATAGCATCCCTATAATGGAGTACAGCTAAGGGTGTGAAAGGGACCTTCTATTTCACCATGGAGAACCCCCAACTGAGGCAGCAGTCTGGGGGAAGTCAAGCTTTATCTGGGCTTCTCAGTGAGAAGGTCACGGGGGGGCCCTACCAGCTTTCTGGGGGTGCAAAAGAAGGTCTTTGTGCTTTGAAAGTCCTCAAGAGAGTCAGACCCTGGTTATATCTAGAAGCAGGTGGGTCTCAGTTAAGGAGGAAATATGGGTCACAAGTACACTTGTAGCTTACCCAAGGCAACATAGTGAGGTGACCATGGAGAATGAACTCAGTAGGTCCCTGAAGAATCCCTTCCTAGCTAAACAGAGAAAGACTGGGCCTTGGGAATAGAAGTGAGGAGGTGACAGCACCCCTGACATAGCTATCCTCTACCACAAAGGATGCTCCAGCTGGCACCCTCAGATTCCAGCCCTCCTCTGCCCCCAGAAGGATATAGCATGGAAGAAGGCAGTGAGTCCTGGGTCTAAAGGCCCGCATCCCAGCTGATCCACTTTGTAGCCATGGGGGACACTATGGTTCTGTTGTCCTCAAGAGTGGGTATCAGAGTTAACAAGCACAGACTGAGTATAATAGAGAGGCTGCCACCTGCCTGAAGTCATAAAGTTCAGATCCCCAGAAAGGGATGGCACAATACCAACTTGAAGTTTTTAATCCTTCACTTCCAGGTCAACATTTTTAGCCCTGATTCTATACTGTATGTCCTTGGCACCCTGGTGGCCCTCTTCAGTGGGCTATCTGCATTCTAAGTGTCTTGACCCACCTTCTCTTCAGGCTTCATTTCCAAACCCCTCGGGAAGGAGTAGCTGTTTCTGATGTCACCTGGGCTGGGGGTCTGAGTGGTGACAAACTTCCTCATGGGGACCAAAAGACACCGAAGACACCTGCTCCATTCAAAGGCTTGCTGCACTGAGTCTTGACTGACAGAAGTGGCCTCCCTTCCCTGCCTCAGGCTGGCTGGCCCGTTAAGCCTCCCACACAAACAGGCTACCGGGGGCTGACCTTTGGTGAGGTGTCCCCCAAGACCTGAGTCACAGCCTGAAGAGGACAGCTCCACCCTCTGGCCTCAGGCCTGCCTGGGCGGCACCAAGGCACACACCCTAGCTAGAACTTGTTCAAAGAACTAACATTTCATTTTCTCAGTAAATATTTTCTGAACATCTACTTTGCACAAGGCACCGGGCCAGGCAATGGGGTGAGGCTGGCCTGTAGTTCGTGTGCTCACACACTGATCTTTTCTAGTTTCAGTAAGTGTTGATGGGTCATCCATGTGTGCCTGGTATCTGAGAGAGAGAGAGCAGAAAAAGCCCCAGCCACATGGAGCCTGCTGCCGAGGACAGGAATTGATCATTTACCCAAAGCATCACAGAACTGTGGCAGCCATGAAGGGAGGTGATGGGGACAGTGACACCTTCCCTCTGAGGCTCCCACACCCTCCTTAGTTGCTGGACCTTGTCACCTCCCTGTGTGCTCAGTCCCTAGACCAAGTCTGACAGCATGGCTGGAACCAATGATCCAGTTTTCCCCAGGCAGGGTAAGGATAGCTTCCCTACATGCTCAGGCCCTCTTGGAATCCATGCTGGCTAGATCACCCCAGGGCCCTGGGCTCCTGCTCCGAGTCTCCGCTCTCTCTCCTCCATGAGAGCCACTGCACCTGCCCCATCCATCCCCAGGAGGTATCAGGCACCTCCTTGCTCTAAAGGGACAGTTGGTCAGCAAGTGCCCAAGATTCCCAAGATACCCAAGTATAACAACATTCAATTAGCACAGAGGATGTCTCAGGGGCTGGTGGTGGGGGTCGGGTGGGCACAGAGTTTGGCCTGACGGAAGCACTCAGGGGCAGAGGCTCCCCATGAAGGTTTGTGGGAGCAAGAGGGTGGGTGAGAAAAATATAGGGGTTGGCCCCTGAGGGAGCAGGCCCTGGCAGGGAGCTCTGCCTGAAGGCCGAGGTAGGCTCTGTGGGGAAGGGATGGAGCCCAAGGTCTTTGCCCTGTCACTCAGGTTGGAGTGGCCACGATTGACCCCAGAGGGTACACCGGCTTGCAATTCTGGGCTGAGGCTGGGG